TTGTTGTATGATCTCCAGCTTCGTTATTGTAGTGTTCAATCTTGTTCTTTTTGAAGTAGCTCTGAACTTGGTCATTCATAATTTTTTTTTTTACCATTATCGGACTGTAACGTAGAGGAAGCTTGTGTTGCAGGATGTAAATTGGAAAGTGATATTAGTAAATCAAAAGTCTGCACTCTTTTGTGTCTAGACTATCTACTAACCACTCATTGCTAAATGTAAATTAGTTTACGAACGTTCCGTAAACTAACCTGTAACTCGTCCCGTAAACCGTACCATAATCCTAAAGATTTAAATAATACAATCAACGCGGATGCGTTACACGGACGTAATGATCTGAACCTTGTATGCTTTTGTAAGATCTCTAATAGCGGCTAGTACAGATTGTGCTTGCTTATTTTTAATGATCTTAGCATATCCTAGGCGAGAGTTAATATTGATAGCTGTTAAATAAGATTTTCTGTTACGAAAAGCTAAATCAATTTGCCATGAGTTTGGATTGTTTGAGGTAATTTTAAAGTCAGTGAAATGGGCCTTCTGTTCTTGAAAACGTTGAATGTCTAGCTGTTTTGAGTACCAAGCCTTTACTGTTTTCAGTTTAATGTTTGGATCTATTTCCTTAGCTTTCTCATACAGTTTTTGAATGCCTACATATCCTGTCTTGGGGTCGCGATACAATTTATCTAGCAATGCTTCCATTTTATATTAATCAACTCATATATCTAACGGAATAGTTGAAACTCCGTCTTCTAGTACCTTACGCTTATCGTAGTAATAGTTTAATGCCGTTTTATGCTGTGTGTAGGTAATAATACTCTGAGTTTGTTTGTCAATACGAAAGCCTGTGTTAGTACCTTGAAGCGTAATTTTTTCACGTACGACGGTCTCAAATCCGAGGGGATTCAGTACATCTGTATTACGATTACCCTGTTGAACACCCTTCGCTGATACCTTCTGTTTATACTTAGCGTCAGGCAGGTAGCAAATGTAGTTCTTCGGTGAAAGAGATACCATCGCATCACCGCGCCATTCTTCCTTGAATAGACCAGCTGTACGACGATCAAACTTGGCTACTTTATCATTATAATCGCGTGGGAACCAATCATATTTGTGATCCTTGAAGTGCTGAACTAGCTCAGGTTTGATAAGGTTCTTAAACGGATGGTCATCGGTGAAAGCTATGTAAGCTGAATCTGTATCCATTTCTTGGTATTGAAAGTCCGATCGATCA